TCCATCCATATTGTTACAAATTGAAAGATTTTCTGCTTTTTAATGGGTGGATTAATGTGTGCATGTGCACGCACGCACACACACACACACACACACACACACGAAAATGTAATTAGAGTATTTCTTACCCTATGCAGAATGCGTGTTTGTGTGTGTGTGTGTGTGTGTGTGTGTGTGTGTGTGTGTGTTGGTATCAGATTTTCCTACCCATTCATTCATTGATAGACACTTAGGGGTTCCATATCTTGGCTAATGTGAAACATGCTACAATGAACATTAGAATACTGATATCTCCTTGAGCTATTGCTTTCATTCCTTTTAATATATAACCAGTGTTAAGACTGCTGGATCATGTGGTAGTTCTTCCATAAGTGCTATACTAATTTACATTCCCATCAATGGTGTACAAGGGTTTCCTCTTTTCTACATCCTCAGCAACATTTATTACTTCTTGTCTTTTTGATAATAGCCATTCTAACAGGTCTGAAGTGATATCTCATTGTGATTTTAATTTGTGCTTTTCTGATGATGAGTGATGTGAATAGCTTTTCATATACCTGTAGCAATTTATATGTCTTCTTTGGAAAATATCTTTATTCAGATCATTTGCCCACTTTCAAATCATGTTTTTGGGTTTTTTTTTTGGCATTGAGTTGTGCAAATTTCTTATATATTTTGGATATATGGTAAGTTATATATAGTTTTTTAATTTGTTTTGTGTTTGTTTGTTTGTTTTGGAGAGATTTTGCTATAGGGTATGTGCGCTCGCCAGAAAGACAGAGAGACAGAAAGCAAGAAATTACCCCCCCCCCAGGGGGAATGGTCATGCCACCCCCCCCCCAGGGGGAATGGCTATGCCGAAATCCCTTCTCCTCCATTCTCCTCTCAGGATCTTGGGCACGCACGCACATGTGCCCGGTGTGAGTTTAAGCTGCTGGGTCCAGGACTCAAACCGTGGTCAACTACATGGAAGTCCAGCGACATAGCCATTATGCCAACTGCTGATCCCAGTTATATATATAGTTTTAAGTTACATATAGTTATATATAGTTGTAAGTATTATATAGTTATATAAATTATATAAGTTATATATAGTTTTAAAATATTTTCTCCTATTCCATAGGTTGTTTTTTCATTTGTTAATAGTTTTATTTGCTATGCAGAAGTATATTAGGTATTTATAGTCCCAATTGTTTATTTTGTTTTGTTGCCTGTGGTTTTGGCATCATATTCAAAACATTATTGCCAAGAAGACTGTCGGTGACTTTTTCTTTATATTTTCTTCTAGGAATTCTGTTGTTTCAGATATTATAGTTAAGTCTTTAATCCATTTTTAGCTAGTGTATGCCAAAATATTTTTTAAAAAGTATATAATCAAGTTACTGAATGGTTAAGGAAAATTGTGTAAGAAAGGCATCTAATTTCATTCTTTCACATGTGTTCTCATCATGAACTCCTGTCAAATATTATTTGTAGCAAGAATGCCCATATCTGAGGAGACCCAGTAGTTATGACACTGGTTTCAGTGAGAAAAGACTATTATTAGTGTTATCACTGACAATTTTCACTTGTAAAGAGGATAAGAGAATATACACTGTAGTAGCACAACGATTGACTCAACTTAAACCAGTCTTATTTATTTTATTTATTTTTTTTAGAGGTTTTTACTATAGGGCACATGCACTCATCAGAAAGAGAGAGACAGAGAGACAGAAAGCGAGAAATCACCCCCCCCCCCGGGGAGGGAGCCCCCACCAATCAACCCCCCGGGGGATGGCCACCCCACAATTCCTTCTCCTCCATTCTATTCCCAGGATCTTGGGCACACACGCACACACACCTGGCGTGAGTTTAAGCCACCAGGTCCGGGACTCAAACCGTGGTCGACTACATGGGAGTCCAGCGACATAGCCATTATGCTAACTGCTGGTCCCAAACCAGTCTTATTAAGAGGTACATTCTTAAATGTTTTAACTTAACATACATGTCTTATGTTAAATTCTTTCCAAGTTACAAAATAAATATCTTGTATTTTTCTTCCTGTAGGAATTGTATATCCTCTGTATACACAAATAAATTTGTAAAGAGGAGTAGTGGTAGCTTAAATCACTATTCTGTATTGTTTTTTCTCAAGAAAACCGAATATGTACAGCATGCAAAGTCTGTGACTGAAGACTTAACAAACACATGAAAGTATAGAATCCTTGTTTATTGCACTGGGTAATAACTGTTATTACTATTAATTAATTAATTGACTGATTTCAAATGCTCCTCCCTGACCTGAGAAAATGCCAATCAAGAGCCCTACCTCATGGGACCAGCAGTTAGTATAATGGCTATGTCGCTGGACTCCCATGTAGTCGACCACGGTTCAAGTCCCGAACCTTGTGGCTTAAAATTCACACCATACGCATGTGCGTGTGTGCCCAAGATCCAGAGAGGAGAATGGAGGAGAAGGGACTGCGGTGTGGCCTTTCGCCCTAGGGGGTGATTTCTCACTTTCTGTTTCTCTGTCTCTGTCTGTCTGGAGACCACACACGCCCTATAGAAAAAAACCTCTCCAAAAAAAAAAAAAAAAAAAGAGCCCCATCTCTTTCTTCACCGGAGTGGTATCTGATCCAAGCTGATCAATCAGAGGCATCCTAGGACTTTTTCTTACTGGAGTCAGTGGCCAACAGGGCTCTGATTTTGTCTAGGGCTGTTAGCTTAACATTAAGTACATTCTATGCTGAGAACCATTGGACACACCTTTGCCACCTCTGGGGAAAACTCATGAATAAATACTGAGAAAAAGGAGAATAAGATGTTACTCAAGATAGAGACACTATCTGAACTCCTAGATCCAGTCTCAGTGGTGCCAAATGATGAACTCTAAGTGGTTTAGTTAGATGAACCGTTAAACATTTTCTTTTTATTTAAGCTAGTGTTAATTTTTGTCACTTGTAACTAAAGAATTATTACCAATATGCATATAGTTTTGCTTATGCTTAATTTCTAAACATTGAAAGATAGACTACTAATTTTTATAAATGTGTAATAAGATATGTTAAAATATTTTAAAAGCAAATAATGCTACTGATTTAACTCATTTATAAAGTTTATGATAAATATTACATCTTAAAATACTGTACTAGATAGGGCCTTAGTTAAAGTATAATACTGAACATAACATAGTTATTAAATGTGTGATCTCTGTAATCCAGTTGTCTTGTTTTAAAACATTATTTCTTCCATGAGTGAGAGAAACAGAAAGAGAATACCCCCAATAGGGTCTTGACTCCATGAACTAGCTCCAGCCTTCAGCCAGACCTGGATTATGGGCAAATATGTGTCTGGCATATTCAAGGAGTTCCCCGGCTTGAACCTGGAACCTTCCCATGTGGGATTGTGTTGTAGAGCATAGTGATTTACTGCTATGCCACCATCTGGTCCCCAATTGTCTGGTTTTGAATCCCACTTCAGTCAATTATAAATTTTCTGGTTTTTGGAAATTACTTGATTTCCCTATATACCTCAGTTTCCTTGTCTATAAAATTGGGCTGAAAAGGAAAAACAAATCCTCACAGAGTTTTTGGGAAAGCTCAATGTAATAATTTATGTAAAATGTGCCTGGCTCATGGTAAAGACTCAATAAATGTTAGCTAGTTTTAATGCAATGGGGGGAGTTACGAAAAATTTACATCATAATAAGGGCTATTAATGGTAGCAGCTGGATTGTCAGAAAAAGGTGAATTTCTATAGAAATACTGATAGATTAATTGCAGGAAAGGACTCTGGTGAGATATTTTGATTTTTTTTTTTTTTGAGAGGTTTTCGCTATAGTGCGCTCGCCAGACAGACAAAGAGAGACATAGAGACAGAAAGCGAGAAATCACCCCCCAGGGGTGGATGGTCACGCCACAATCCCTTCTCCTCCATTCTCCTCTCGGCGGGATCTTGGGCACGCACACACACGTGCTCGGAGTGAGTTTTAAGCCACTGGGTCCGGGACACGAACCACGATTGACTACGTGGGAGTCCAGCGACATAGCCATTATGCTAACTGCTGGTTCCCTCTGGTGAGATATTTTGTATAAATGTCAGTTGACCTACTAATTTGGTATAAAAGTGCATTTATAGACCTCTGTGCCCTCAGTTAAAATGTTTCTATATGGACAAAAGGAAAGTGAAGTGGAAACCACCTTTTCCTATTATTTATTCTAGTTGATAATTTGTGTTACTGAGGAATTTTAAGAGTTTGCAGGCATGCACTATAACACTATTTTCAATGCTTTATTCAAGCCACATATTGAAGCAGAGCCATATGTTTGACAGTAATGTTACTGAGTGTGTGTTTAATGTGAGAACTATCCTTTGGCTTTATTTGTATTTAAAAAGAGAATGTGGAGAATTCAACAAGCAATAGTGATCTATTCAGTGTACCTCCTGGGGTTTTCATGTTGTTTTGTATAACTCAAGGTGAAGAAGACTTATGCCTTCAATATCTATCAGATGACACATCTAATGGAAGAGATTAACATTGTTCCAAGGAGCAGAAAGAAAATAGGTGGATAGACTTTTAAAAGTAACTTTTATAAACAGTATTACTTTAACTCACTAGATTACAGTCCTGTGGAATACATATTGATTATTTATACATTCAGAAGAGAGTTTACTGCTAACATCTATGCTATAATTTCCTGAGGAATCTGGATCTGCAATTTAGCAGAGAATACTTCCTTAATAAATTATAATCTATATTTACTTACATAATTGCCTTCAATCTGGAAAGCAATAAAAGGGAAAATTATATGTCCTGGTCCATCAGTCTAACTAAGCCCTCATAAAAATCTAATAAACAACAACAGAATGTTCATAGTTCATAACATCTATGTGTTTAAATTTGCAACTTTAAATGAACATAAGGAAAGGTGGTATGTACGGTAAATGTGGACTTAGAATTACAAGCATCATCGAGAAGCATATAACCTTTGATCTTTAATCTATAGAGAACTTCTACATTAGAGACCAGTTTTGGACATGATCCAGTCTCGATAGTATGTCACTCGAGTATAGACACCAGGCTTGTTTCGAAGAGCACATTCATCTCCCCAGCTTACAATGCCAGCCAGGAACCAGGTGCCTTTAGAATCTTTACCAACCAATGGTCCACCAGAATCACCCTAGTGAGAAAAATGATACATATGATTACTATAATTGAAAGGTGAATACCATGCATTTTTCTGTTTTGAAATAAAGATACAAAAAGACAGAAGGAAAAAGAAAACCTTAGATATTTCAATACTATATCATTCTACACCATATTTGTGTTCTATGATCATTTACTTAAACCAAAGACATCAGCATACTTTTTCAAATAATTATTTAATTTAATTTTATTTATTTTATTTACTTATTTTAAATTGACTAGAGAGAGTTAGAGCATGAGAGAGAGAGAGAGAAAACAAGCCATCAGGTCTGGGACTTGAACTGCAGTCAACCATGTTTTTGTACATTATGGAAAACGTGTATGAAAACTGTTACCTGAAGGAGGTATTAAAGGTATTATTGCTTATTGTAAATCATTGACATGCTGGAGAACAATCTCATTATCTTCCCAAACTCCTCTACTTCCAGACAGATGTTGTATTTTCCCACCACCAGCAATGGATTGTTACTCTTTCATTCTTGTGAACTGCTCTGGTCTCCAGAATTGTGTAATTTGCCTCTCTTCCCTCTGCACTTCATATATTTTTCATCTCCTGATCTTCAGACGATTTTCCCAAAATATTAGAGTACTTTGATATCTGGATTTTCCTTTGCTCTTATCCTTCACATTATCCTGAATAATTTCAACATCTATCAGATGACACATCTAATACCTAGCCCACAATCTCTTGGCCTTTTTTACTCTAATCATCCACATTTTTATTCAGCTTTTCCATGCCACTCTTTGTCATCACCCAGAACTGCTCCACCTCTGAGACACCATTATTCAACATTATGATTACACATACCTACCCCAGAGGATTTTTGTTCTATCTTTTCCATTATTCTCTACTCTTTATCCTCACTACTATCAACCTCACTACTCTTCACCCTTACTAGTTCAATTTTTTAAAGAATTATTTCATTTATTTATTTATTTATATTTAATTTGACCAGAGAGGGACAGAGCAAGAGAGAGAGAGAGAAAGAGAGAGTGAGCAAGCCTCCAGGTCCAGTGCCCCCAACCACCTGCCAGCCCTGTAGTTTAATTTTTGACTCCTTTCTTTTATATAAATGCATTAGCTCATTTCCTACTTCCCATATTTCTTTTTATAGGCTATATTTTATAATTAACTCATACCACGACTTTGTCAACAGCATCCTCAGTTCTTTACCTTGCTTTCCATGACTTGGCCCGAACCATGTTACAAATTTACATCTTCAAACCAAGACTTCTCAGTGTCTCTAGTCAGTTTCCTTTTTAATTTTTCAGGACAGCCATCCCAAACTTTCATTATTTCACAGTTTAAAAAAATCCTGTTCCTTTATTCTAAATCTAGTGTATCACTTTCAAATACACAGAGTAAGTGGAGAGTAACAGGTGCCAAATCCTCCGTTCCTTGTCCTGTCCCTTTTAACTTCTCAACCCACCTACCTCAGCCCATATCTGTATCTACTGTCTTCTCATACAGATGGGTGTATTTCATCTTTATTTTAAATTGAGAGATGATTGACAAGTTAACATTGTATATGTTTAAGATATATATTATGTTTTTTACATGTATATATTGTGAAATGATTCCTCACTCAAACTAACCTATCCATCACCTCACATATTTATATTTTTTTGTGTATGAAAATAGTTAAGATCTATTCTCTTAACAAATTTCAAGTATACAATGCATTGTGTTAACTATAATCACCATGATGTACATCATATCTCCAGAATTTACTAATCATATATTTGAAAGTTTATACCCTTTAGCCAAAATCCCTCCCTATTCCCCAGTCCCCAGTCCCTGGAAACTGTTGTTATACTATTTTAATGAGTTTGCCTTTTTTATGATTCAACATATGAAATCATACAGTATGGTTATAGCTGGCTTATTTCACTTAACATAGTGTCCTCTAGGTTCATCCATGTTTTCACAAATAGAAACATTTCCTTTTTAAAAAAGATCACTGAATAATACTCTATTGTGGTGTCTGGGGGGGGCACAATTTTTAATCCATTAATCTGTTGATGGACACTTAGGTTGTTTCCATATCTGGGCTATTGTGACTAATGGTGCAATAAGGAGCAGTGCAGATATCTCTTTGAGATGCTGACTTAATTTTCTGTGGATATATACCCTGTAGTATGATTGCTGAATCATAAAGTAGTTATTTTTTTTAAAAGAAACTTCTATACTGTTTTCCATAATGGCTGTACCAATTTGCATTTCCCGCTATAGCATACATGGGTTACTTTTCTCCTTATCTTTGCCAATACTTGTTACCTTTCATCTTTTTGATAAAAGCCATTATAACAACTGTGAGGTACTATCTTCTTGTTGTTTTAGTATGTATTTCTTGAATAATTAGTGATCTTGAGGACCTTTTCATATATCTGTTGACCATTTGTATTTTTTTTTTCTGAAAAATACCTATTTTTTAAAGTGGATATCTGCTCACTTTAAAAATCAGATTATTTATTTATCTACTGATATTGAGTAGTGTGAGTTCCTAAGAGTTCTTATAAGTAGGTTTGACAGACTTGATTTTTATAGAATGTGTGCCAGGGTCTAGTAGAGTAGGACAGTTTGGAAAATATGGAAGAAACTCAAATTAATAAAAAATCCAAGTTTCTACGTAGACAGAAGGAGACTGGGTGATGAACACAGGCAAAAGATTAGCTTTGAATAGTAGGATTAACTTGTTTGTTCTGAGCATAGAGGGTGAGGATTAATACAATATAAATATGCCAGGGATAATGGAAGTTAGATAAGTTCTCATATGATTGCTTAATTTTTCCTGATTAATAGGAGGAATTGTCCTATGCTAAAGAAGATAAGTGCATAGTAGAATAGGTAGGTAAAAATATAATAAATGTTTTACATCTCACAATAAAAGATGCATTAAGGAATTATATAGTTTGTAAAGGACTCAACTGTGATTATATGATTCTAGTTTACAAGAAGGGAAGTTTTCTTCTTGTAGTGCTTAGTAACTCACACACAAGAACAAGTAAAGTTATTAGATTGCTTTATGGTGGAAGATGGGTGTGGGGGAAGAAGACGAAGTTACTGAGGGTGCTGTCAGTAGAATAATTGAAAAAATAAAATGTGGATCCTAGGCTGTGCGAGGTTTGGAGAGAATTATGAGGCTAGGGGTGATAGATGAGAGAAAATCAAGAGGAACAGGAATTTAAGTTCTCCATGACATCAATGAATTAGTTTAGTGGGACAGTTTAAAATACAGAAATCTGTAATTAGAGATATTAGTTACATTTAGCAAATGCTTGTTTTTGTGACTGCTAGCTCCTAGAGTATAGGAATATGCTCTATTCATTTTAACTTCCTTGCACCAAGGACAGGGTCTGGCACTTAGATAAGTAGTCAATAATCACCACATGGAAGAAAGAATGAGTAAAACAATACTGTTTATCAGTAATTCTGCCTGCCTAGATAACTACAAAAGGGCAGCACTTTTGTTAGCTCTAGGACTATTGCTTAGATACACAACAGGGCTTTGGGAACACAAGGAAAGGCAGTTTAGGATAGAGTTCAGACTACAGGCACCAGAGCCCAGTTTCCTGCATTTAAATCCCAGTTCTGCTACTTAATACCCGTGCAAGTTTGTACAAGTTACTTTATCCCTTTATTTCTGTCTCCTCCTCTGAGAAATAGGGTTTACAATTGTAAAACCTATTGCAGAGGATTGTCATAACTAGAGTAAACTAATATTATAAAGACCTTAAAGTGGTGCTTATGGCGCACTATATAGAGACGCTATAGAATGGTGATTAAATAAATAAAATATTCAGGGTGTTGGAACCACATTATGAAAGCTCCATGAGTGTTAGGTTTAGTATTAGACCCAATAAGAAATAGTGAAAGGCCAATCAAACAAAAGAGATCAATAATCCATTTCATCTCTTCATTGCTTATTTTAAATTGAGTCTTTTCCCCACTCCCACTTACAGCTTCTTACAACAATAAGGATGATTACTTAATGAGACCTATTAGATAACAATGTAATTTTAATGAGATATTTTGACTATAAAACATACTTAAGCCTTTACAAATTGTCAGTCTCTTGAGAAAATTGAACTAGTTAATTGGAAATTTAAAACTACAAGAAAAAAATCTTCTTGAAAACGGACTAGGCAGATCTACCTGGCAGGCATCCACATGTCCCTCCAGGTACCCAGCACACAGCATTCCAGGTTTGATGACTCCTCCATATACCTTTCCACTGTTGCAAGTCTTATTATCTATAATTTTCATTAATCCCTTTTGGAGTATATTAGGACTTGTTCCTAAAGGAAGAAAAGTTACTTACTTTGTGCTAAAGTCAATATTACTCTCTGTCTAGATTATTAATATTTTAACTTTAACACTATGTACAATTTCCAAACCAATGTAAAATATACTTTTAATTAATTTATTTTACATTATAAATCTCTACAGTGGACAATATGGTTTTTCAGTGCATGCATGTAATACATGATAATCGAATCAAGGATATTACCATATATATAATTTTCTTTTTTTGCATCATTTTATTTTACCTATACAGAATTTTCAACAGAGAATTTTACATTATTTTTTCTGTTAAATGCTTTTTTCTCTTTGTCCTTCCCACTCACGCTCTGTCATCTACTTTCCTCCGCTTTTATAAAAATTCATGATAGAGAGCATGCAAGAGAAAGAGAAAGAGATCTTCTATGTGACTTGGTCATTCTACGATCCCCTTCCTCCAGTTTTCCAACCCACCAGGATCCTGGGCAGGCATATATGTGCCTGGCATATATTCAGAATGATTGGACTGGGAACTTGAACTGTGATGAGCATGTGCCTTCCAGCTCCCCAGTTGGATATTCTGCCTAGTCTCCACAGAAGCTAGACCAACAATTTTTTTTCTTTTAGAGAGATGTTTGCTGTACAGTGCATGCACTTGCCAGAGAGACAGAGAAAGACAGAAAGTGAGAAATCAACCCCTCTCCTCCAGGGGATGGCCATACCACAATCCCTTCTCTTCTATTCTCCTATCAGGATTTTGGGCACGCACACACATGTGCCTGGTGTGAATTTGAAGTTGCCAGGTGGGATTCGAACTGCAGTTGACTAGGTGGGAGTCCAGCAGTGCAACCGTTATACTATCTGCTGGTCCCATTAAACATATGTTTTAATTAAGCTTTTTCTTCCTATCTTAATAACAAAGACACGTTTATGAATACAATATTCTACTGTTAAAAATGACCATGTTTTGAAATAGTGTATAAATTTATAAATGATGTGATTTTCCCCTTTTGAATTGCTTTGAGATTTTATGTTTGTTACATGTATACATTAGAAAGAAAAACAAAAATGTCAGGCCAGATGAATGCATTTTATGATTTTAGATTTTCTGCTAAATTTGTTACTATAATTCTGTGTCTTTGAACTAATTATACTTATGTTTCTGCTTTCAAAACATAAATAACCATTATGCTCTTTTGTTATTAGAGTCGAGGGCAATCACATATTTTAATGATTTTTGCTCAAGTATCATGTAATTACTGAAGGATGTGCATTCCACCTCATCAAATGTACACAATACTTTGGAGCCAGCAGGTGGCATGGTGGTTAAAGTGTTGTACTTCCACATGGTCTGTTGTGGTTCAAACCCTGGACCTGGTGGCTTGAAAATCCAACACTAGGTGCATGGTATGCATGTCATTCTTTGCTAAGAATGTGAGGGCGGGAATATTTGCCTATTTTATTTGTTAATGTATCCAATTCACCTAGACTGGTATCTGGAAGAAAGATGTTAATCATAATAAATGTTTAATGAATAGGTGCGTGAATGAAATGAAGGGAAGTGAATTACATATTCAAGTAATACATTTCTGTCAAAACTTCCATTGTTTAGAAGAATTATGGTAAATAGACCATATAAAATTATACTTTCTGCATGAATGTTGAGAATGTTGTTGAGAATTGTTTTCAAACATTGCATATTATCCTCTTGAAAATGACCCAGAGAGAGGACAGCAGGTGGTATGATGGTTAAGGCACTGGACTCCCACATGGTTGATCATGGTTCAAGTCCTAGACCCAGAGGCTTGAAAATCATGCTGGGTGCATATGCATGCATGCCCAAAGTCCCAAGAGGAAAATGGAAGAGAAGGGACTGTGGTGTGGCTATTCCCCTGGGGGTTGATTTCTCACTTTCCCTCTCTTTTTCTCCAGCAAGCAAAAAATCTTAAAAAAGAAAGAAAGAAAAAAAGATCCAGAGAAAACATTTCTCAGGGTTAGTTGTTGTCCTGAGTATTATTTTTTTAGTTTCTAAAACTCAAACCATGTAATGGAGGGAGGTTAGGAACTCACCATCAGCCTTTAATGTTCCCCATCCAGTGACTACCACATCTGAATTGGGTGGGAATGTGTAAGTAGCTTCTGGAAGACATGCTCTTCGGATGTTGCTTGAATATAATACTGGTGAAGACAGATGCACAACAGCAATGTCATTATCGTGTGCGGGGTAATGGTAGTTTTCATGAATTATAATGTCCTTGATACTTCGCTGTGTTTGTGGATCATTTAAAAGAAGCCCAAAACTAACATTCCATCCTTGGGGATCACTGACCCTAAAGAAAATAGATTTATTCATTAAAAGTTCTGTATATTAGAGTTGTGGGGCTTAATCCCTTACACTTTGAAAAATAACTAGGTATGTTTTGAATTCTCACCGTGCTTATAAGCATTTAAAGGTAAAGCCATATGTAGGAGGAAAAATAAAAATAATAATGTGAACTGATTTCTAATAACTCAATAAGCTATATATATGTATATATTTTATTATCTATTGATGATAATGTGTTTTATATCCTAAACTGGACTGATGTGAAGTGTATTCATGTTTGATAAATTCAACTCACAAGCAAAGTGATGCATAGTGATTAATTGTATAAAATAAAATAATAAAAAGTAATCAATGGAAACTACATTTATTTCATGTTTTCTACAGGAAAAACGCAGGATTTAGGAAGATAAATATGATAACACAAAATAAGATTAAATAAAAAGTTGGACAAGGAAATGGGACAGAATAGTACTTATGAAAATTAAGGAAATATTTGATACCCCCTTTTTAACTATTAAAAGCTATGAAATGGAAGATATTTTTTACTTATTATTTGATAATCAAGGATTTGTAAATTAAATGTTGGAAAACAGTGCTGATGAAACATCTTCAAACTCTGTACTGAAGAAGCATTAATAAGCAAATGTAACTTTAAAGAGAACTGATCAAGTTTGAGAGGGATTTTTGTTTAAAAAGAAACCAATCAGTGATACATACTACCAAAGGGAGTTATTGAAAAGAACTATCAAATAAAAGGGTAAAAATCTTTTTGGTAAAGGAGGACAAATTTTGGTGCAATAATAAATCCTTTAAAGGAATCATCATTTCAAATAAGGCTCTACATATGTAAGAGGATATAGTATGAATACTTACCTGTGATTAAATAAATATAACCAAACAAAATAATGGTGAGAAAGACATAGAAGACACATATTCAGTTTGGAATTTATAATTTGCATGTGTATGTAAGTGAAACAACCTGATGTCATCTATGTGCCTGTCCACTCTTGTGCTACAGTTCAGTTATTCAGTACTGGTTCTTGTTGAGTTGAATTCTTACCTGGAGCAATCATTCAGAACCCCCTACCTAAGATACTAATTTCTTGGCCCTTAACAGTAGGTTAGTTGGTGCCCTTTGGTCTTTTAGCCCCTAATATTTAAACCTCTTCTGAAGCTTGTATGTAAGGTCCCTACTCACTGGCAGAAGGAGAGGTGAAACCTACAGCTGTGTTGTGGGAATCAACCTCCATTGACTACAGCTTCTGGTCTGTAAGTTACCCTTTGATAGTAAACATTTATCAAGTCTTCTGAGAAATTGTCTGCTTCATTTTCAGTCTCAGAGAACACATAGACACGGTTTCTTTATAAAATCAAAGATAAGTATCCTAGCCTAGTTCTCAAATGGGGGAAATTTTATCCCCCACATTTGGCAATGTTGGGGGACATTTTGGTTGTCAATATTAGGGGAATGGTACTTGATTAAAACTAGGGATGATGCTAAAAACCCTGCAATGCATAATAGTATCCCATAACAAATGATTATCTGCTCCAAAATGTCAGTAATGTCACTCTTGACAAACCCTGCTTTAACTTGACAATATCTATTACTTTACTGGTAACTAATGGTGTAATTTTGAAACCATATCTCACAACATTGGAACATTGGAAAGTTATAGGCATAGTTATGCGGCCATATTGTTGAAAGACGTTACCAAATTTTTAGTAACCTGATTGGCTTTTGAAGCCTTCACAAACACCAGGCCTTACCTTATGAAACAGTGAGCAGCAGTGACAAGCCAGCTGTTACTAATCAGAGTGGCTCCACATCGGTGCACACTGTTCTCTTGAAGGCTAGCTTGCCAGGGCCATTCCCCTTCCTCAGCATCCAGGCCCCCTGCTATTTTGTTGCCAGAGGGAGTTATTGTACGTTGTCCACAACCTGCTCAAAATAGAGTTCATTAGCACTGATATTGCCTATACATGTATATTGACATACTAACCAAGCTCCTATAATATGTCCCTGTTAGCGAATTACTAAGGAAAACCTCACATAAAAGGAGCTCAATAAATGTTTGTAAAATTGAAGTCTATGTAATATAATCCATGAAATATCTTGAAATAAAAATACTTCACTACAAATCCCTTTTCTGTAATGTGTATATTTCAAAGCATTTAGAATGTGAAAAAACTTTCCATAATCAATGCTGGGTTAGAGATTAAAGCAGTGACTCTGAATTAGGGACAGTTTTGTATATTCCCTCCCCAGGAGGTATTTGGCAATGTCTGGAGAAAATTTTGGTTGTTATAATTGGGAAAAGTTTAGGGAGATAGGCTGCAAGTACCTTGTGGGTAAAAGCCTGGAATGCTGCTAAATATCCAGTAATATGTAGGACAGCCATTATGTGGCTCCAAATGTCAATAGTGTTAATGTTGAGAAACCCTGGGTTAGAGAACCATACCAAGAATGAGCATATTTAAATGAACTGGAAAATTTAGATGGTCAATTGCTTCACCAGATGTTAATTACATGACTACATGAATTTTGAGATATTTTTTTCTTGAGGGTGAAAAGACATTAAATAATGTACAGGGGAGTCATGTAGACTTTTTGAAAGGCTTTCACTTTTAAAACTCTGAAATTCTTAAATTCATGTATTTCTCCTAATTCTAGGTTATTCTCTGATGCAACCTGAACCTCAGTTTGTTTTGGCGACCTCGTCATAAAAATCACTTACTGAACTGGAGCCTTGACGCTTGGTATTTTTGAACGAGAGCGTTTTCACACTGACTCATTTGCTGTAACTCCCTCTTTTGTTTTTTCTCTTTCCACTCCCTTATCATGAACACTACAGAGGATAAAACAAACAATCCAGAACCCAAAGGTATACGATTCCTCCCTATCCTCCCTTCCATTTGGACAACTCCTTAAGGAAGTTAGCTTTTAGACAGCAAAGATGCTTCTGTGTGAGCTAGGAGGACCTCCCCTAGGTGACTCTACTTCCCTGTTTCTGCACTTCCTCAGATTTCAAATCTAATTGAAATCATACATCGGGTTACTTTCTAAATTCTCATTTATTTATGATTATTATGTCTGTTAAGCTTTCAGCCACCACCTCTGCAATATTCCCTTGTTATTACTTCTGCTGAAGTCTTGCATGACATCTTGCAGACTTATGTCAAAATCTTTTTGTAAATTTCAAGGACTTAGAGAATGTAAGATTGCCAAATGATAATTTCAGAAACATTAGTAAATGTACTGAGCTCTTATACCTTCCTACCCTTCTAACTTCTATTCTATCATTTATAACTACAGACTGATATACTTTATGTCACATATCAAAGCACTATTCTTTCTTTAACCCTGTTTCTCTTGCCTACCCCTCCTCTTTTTATTTAATGTATGGTCAAAATTCTAGATAGGGTGAGTCAAATTCAGTGTACTGATATGAATGGTCACTTAGTGTTCCAGTTGAGAGATAGAAAAATTACTGATCTCTTTCTTTCCACTGCATTTATTGCTGTCTTGACTGTCAATTTTCTATGAAACTGACAAATTATCAGTTATGGATTTTGATCATATCTGTACTAAAGTTTTTATTGGAATAACTGCCTTTAAGATGTCTTATTAATAAGTTGCTTGAAGATTGGTTAGTCTATGAGAGAGAAAAATAATCTAAACAGATTGTATTTAAGTTCTAACCAGGTTTCATAGAAATAAGTATGTTATGACTGAGGGATAGAAGTGAGTGGTTGGGTCAGTGTCACCTAGCTCTGCTGGGTGATTCCTGTCTCATCTAGCCACCCAATGAGTCTCAGTCTCCAGATGAAAGTAGTGGTTTTCCTCACAGCTGCACCAGGTTCTGGCAACCTGGCAGATCATATTTCCCAGGGCAGGAAATAGTAGAAGGAAAGCAAAATGCCGTGGCCAACAAAAAAAGAAGTTGCTTACGTGTAAGGCAACTTACTTTTCATACACTAAACGTGGCTTCTGGGATTAGAATTCCATAGTGAGTTCTTTGACCTGGAGTCTTCACAAGTCAGATGTAAATATCTGACATTTACTGAGTTCTTATTGTGAGGCATATGTACTCTTATAAGTGCTTTACTTACATTACCTAATTTTATCTTCACAACAGTTTGGAACTGAGTCATTGAGGAACTTACATAACCTATGTAAATATATCCAGTTAGTGGTAGAGATGAGACTCAAAACTCATGGTTAGCCAATTTTATATTTTAAGTTCTTAATTATCACTACTTGTCTCTAGATTACTTCTGTTGTTACATCATATGATAATGTGTTCCTCATTTTAAGTCCATAAAATCAGCAAATTTAAGGCCAACTACAGTAAAATTCACACAGCTGATTTCCAGAAGAAGCTTCCTATTACAACTTTATGGATGCCGCATTGATTGTTGCATTGAGGTCTTATTTTGTACCCAAAGAATTAAGTTTTGTTAGGAAATAACTTTTTGTTGATGAACTTACAGATATTGAGAAGGTTTTCTGCTTCTGGCATTATAATGTCTGAAAGTGAAGGAATGAAAAAAGATGAAAATATTTACATTTATGAACACATTTTACTTTAACATTCATATCATTTGGTTTTGGGAAACATTATTCTTTAGGCATAATCATTATATATAATCTAGACTATGTAATTTCTGTGTGCATATATCAGTATAGAGGGTAATAAAATCTATATTCATTCTTCTTCTTCTGAAAATATTCAAGTTCCACAATGTAAATTATCTGAGAAAGAGGTCTGTATTCTAGAAACTACTAAAATACATGAAAAAGTGGTGATATTCCACTGTATCCTGAATTCAAATCACTAGAAAACTAAATATAGTCAACATCTTTTATGTTCTACTTTACATCCTCTTGTCTCAGCTCTTATCCAGGGTCTTCAGAAACTCAATGGAAATGGGTATTATGAAAAAACTGTGCATAAATTTCAAGGTTTTTTGTTAAAAATAAACTCGTATTTTGGTTCCATGGTTGTAGAACTTTTTGAAATCCCCTCAGAGTCTAGTCACAGTCATGGGGACCACATATATTTGGGTCAGCTTTATTCAGGGGTAATAAGTCATCCTTCTCAAGTCAAGATTTCTCACTTTCAAAAATAAACTCTCCCAGGTAGAAAACCAGGAAATGAGAGGTTAATGCTGGTAGAACCACTGTCGAATATAAGATGGGCACTGATGAACAGTGCTTCCTCCTTTAGTCATTGGAGAATACAGTTCTGAAATACAATTCATTAGATCTCATGGGATGGGACTAGCTGCCCCTTGTGATAACCAAGGTGTTCTTTTTCAAATCAACTACTGCATGCGAGCCTTTGTCTTAGGTTCTGCTTTTTGAGGAACCAGGCAGAAGCACTCAAGTACCTCTATACCTTAATAGATGGTGCTAGGAGAGAGTACATACATTGTTGAATTGGTGCTTTTTATGTGTGCTGAGTGCATTTTACTATATTTTAATTTTTTAATAGAGATTTTTGCTATAGGGTGCATGTGCTTGCTGGAGAGACAGACAGAAAGCAAGAAATCGCCCCTCATGGGGAAATGGCCATGCCACAATCCTTTCTCCTCCACTCACCTCTTGGGATTTTGAACACACACACACACACACACACACACACACACAGGTGCCCATTGTGAATGATAAGTTGTTGGGCTGGGACTTCGAACTGAGGTTGACTATGTAGGAGTCCAGTAACATAATCATTATGCCATATGCAGGTTCCCTATATTTTAATTCTTTTAAAATTAATACTCTGTGTGTTGTTTCAGTTACTTTGAACATTCAGATAAGGATGTCATCCCATTTCCCCTTCATCTTGGGTCAAAAGTAATTTAATTCAGTAATAAAGAAAACTTTAAAAAATACCTGGATATATAGGTCATTTCAAGGAATATTACAAAATGAAATTATTCGCTCCAGATTATGTTGCTGTGGACCCCATACCCTTGCAAAAATGCCAGCTTGTTCAATTCATGTTTGAAATGTATGAGGAGAGGGTGAACAAATGAATCATGCTTCAAATTTCAGATACAGAAACCATAAACCTTCTAGCCATTGCTACTTAAAAAGTTCCTCTTCAAAAAGTAATTAATCAGTACTGTATGAATAAATACTATAGGTTCATTTTTATTATGCTCTTGAATTTTTATAAATCTAGGAAGGAGTATCCAGTTCTACATGCCAATTACAGTTACGCACTCTTACATTAAATTACACAACAAATCAGGAAGACAAAGAATCCTTTACCAGAGAGTCGACTTGTCTGAACAAAAAGGCAGGAATAATTCTGCAGTCAGATGGGATATGAGTTAATTATGACCCACACCTACTTAAACAGAAAACTGGCATATTTTCATATAATCCTTCACAGCTGCCTTCCAGAGCTAGAACACACACTTTTTCCCTAATATATGTGTGTGTGTGTGTGTGTGTGTATGTGTGTATTTAGAATACACACTTTTCCCTTTATTTATAATTATTTTTTACACTTAATCATTGTACATCTTTACAGCATACAAAATGATTTTCCCAACATGAATACACTATACACTGCATATTAGGAGTCTAATCTTTTTTATCTTACATGAATTATCTAGAGTCTAGTTTTGAGTTCTGTGTGCTTAGTAAATTATATTAAATCTTATTCAGAATTATGGAAATACTTAACTTTTTACTGTAGTTGGAAAAATATTAATTCTTATTCCTTAAATAATTTAGAAAATCTATTATGTTCATAGAAATTTCTTCTTTCTTTGAGGTTTCCTTTATTCACACATGACTTGCTAAAGGGAAGAAATGTTCTTGACTTACAATTTACTTTTAATAGTTTTATTATTCCATAGCCTAATAGAATAACTCTAGCTTGGGTAGGTGGAAGACAGGCTGTAATGAATGGGGAGGTGACTGTAGTCATCACCCCTTTGATTGAGTCACTTCTGTGGCTGTTTGTGTTTCCTTCCTTTAAAGTCTCTTGGCTCACATCCAAGGGCTGGTACAGCTGTTGATTTGCCTATAAATGAAAGAGTCAACAATGTAGGCGAAGATACTCTGTTTACAAAGTACCAGAATGTAAAGGAAGTACCAGTATAAAGGAAGTGAGAAAAGCAATGGCTCTGTCCATGCCAAGGAAAAGACTAAATTAAAAGATCAGGATCATTAAAGGGCGTAGTTTTAGAAAACAGCTTAGCCAATGTGCATTGACTTTTGTGGGCCAGGAATGAAACAGACATGAATCCTACCCTCAGTGAATGTAGAGTCATTAAATATATAATTTTAAACCAATACTAAGCAGCCAGGAGGTGGCAAGGTGGTTGGAGTGCTGGACTTCCACATAGCCGACAATAGTTCAAGTCCTGAATCTGGTAGCTTGCTTTCTCACTTTCCCTCTCTCTCTGTCTCTATCTGGTGAGTGTGTGTGGCCCTAGCAAATTTAAAAATATATACTAATAATAAATAAATGAAATAATTATTTAGAAAATAAAACCAGTGCTAAGTGCTGTAGCAGAAGTATGAAAAGATTTATAAACTTTTATAGAAAAATAGGATAAAATATTAGATATTTCCCCCCTTTTTCTATCTTTTTAAAACATTTTTTAGAATTTTTTGCCAAAAGACGCATGCACTTGCCAGAGACAGACAGAGGAAGACAGTGCAAAGAAAGTGAAAAATCACCCCCTGGGGGCATGGCCACACCACAATCCCTTCACCTCCATTCTTCCTCCTCAGATTTTGGGCATGCGCAGACACACATGCCTGGTGTGAGTTTCAAGCCAGCAGGTCTGAGACTCAGCCCACAGTTAGCCATGTGGGAGTCTAGTGCTTTAACTATGTGCCGTCCCTTTAAAATATTAGTTTATTTGGTTACAAATGTTTGAAATCCATGCATATTTAATAATACACATTTCCATGAACTTTTTAAAGACCCTCGTGTACATATGGAAATGGGATGCACCAAGAAAAGTCACTTAGCACAGAAGAGTGATGGGAAATTGTAATAACTAATGACAAATATCCTCTGGGAAGGAGTCAAGAAATGTACTTTATTATGGCATAATGGCTAAAATCCCCTGACTGTTGAAAATTAGATTTGAAAAAAAGGCTTAGATACTTCTCTAAGTGGGTTTTGGATTGGTAGTGTAACAGGCCCATGACCGTTGTTCATGTTTGCCAGGGTTAAGATGTACAAAATGCAACTGTAAATGCGCTGGTTAGGAGGATTCACCTAAAAGTCTAATTTTCAAAGAATATTTTTTTTTCCTTAAAAAAAAAACTCAAAAAAGATTGTGATAATGGAAAGTAAACTGTATGAATCTAAATTATAAGGAAGTTTTTTACAGTAGTTATAAAGTCATTTATAATATAATTCTTTTTTGAAAGGATTTTACTAAAGGACATGCATGCTCACCAGAAAGAGAGAGACTGAAAGACAGAAAGCAAGAAATCACCCCCCCCCCAGGGGGATGGCCACGCCACAATCCCTTCTCCTCCGTTCTCCTCTCTGGATCTTAGGCATGTGTGCATATACACCCGGCATGAGTTTAAGCCACTGGATTTGGGACTCAAACCGTAGTCGACTACATGGGAGTCCAGTGACATAGCCATTATGCCAACTGCTGGCCCCTATAATATAAATTTTACATAGACCATGGTTTTCAGCTCAGGTGGATTTATTACTTTGCATGAATCCAAATGCTAATTTAGTTGATCAGTCTTCCCTTTTTAGTTTTTCTAGGGTTCTAACATAAAAAAATATTGAGGAATTCAGCTGCATTCTCTCATGGAATGTGCTTTATGGGATTTAAAAAATGTTAATGTGGGAGGCCAGCAGGTGGCATGGTGGTTAAAGCGCTGGACTCCCACATGGCCAACCACTATCTGAGCCCCGGAGGCTTGAAAATCATGCTGGGCACATGTGCATGCTTGCCCAAAATCCTGAGAGGAAAATGAAAGAGAAGGGAATGTGGCATGACCATTCCACCTGGGGGATGCTTTCTCACTTTCTCTCTCCTTGTCTCTCTCCAGTGAGCAAATGTGCCCTATGAAAAAGCCTAAAAATAAATAAATTAATTCATATGATAGATTTCTGAAGATTTTAAAATGGTAAATGTACATGGACTCATTAAGATAACTAATATAAAATTATTTTATGACATAGAAGTCATTGTCTTCTACATAGAAATTCTTTCATAGTATTTTTGCATGCACACCCACACACACACACACACACACACACACACACACAAACACACATGGCTACTTTGGAACTTTAATAAGATGAGTTTGCGTTAAAAAGCAGAGGAACAAAGCATAGACCTGGATTGCTGTTGAATGACATCTGAGTCCTATACTCCAGTATTTGATTAGTCACCTGGCTGCATATTTCGCTTCCATAAATGCTTTTATGTTTCTAATTAGGCTGAAAATTAACCCTGTGGTTGAACATTACACATAATTTGTCATTCTTCAGAGTGATGTTGGTTAGGTTTTCACAGCATATATCT